TGTGTGTGTGAGTGTGTGTGTGTGGCTATAAAATTAACAATTCAATGAAGTGAATTCAAAATGGCAAATCGAGAAACGAAATCAAATAACGAGGCAGGCAGCAAACAACAAGAAGCAGCACACACACACACACACAGAAACACACACACATAGAGAGTGAGAGAGAGAGAGAGAGAGAGAAGCACATCGAATACGCGTTAGCAATAAAAGAAAATAACAAAAAGCCGTAGACGGAGGCACAGCGCACATATAAGAAACAAGTAAGAGGTTCTTGTCGGGAGCCCCCGACTAGGGAATACCCTGAACCTTCTTCTTCCAACATCAAATGCATATATATATTCTATTTCAGAAGCTATATGTCAAGTTTGGTGACTCCAGCTCTTATTATTTACCAAAATTGCCCAAGAAACAGGATATCGATATCGATTTTTATCGATTGCTTGGAAACGGAGTAAGTTATCGATTATCGGAAATAAACTCGATCTGCGCGGGAACTAGGAGCATCTACATCTAAAATTTCAGTCTCTAGCTCTTATAGGTTCTAAGATGCTTGCGTTCATACATACGGACGGACGGACGGACAGACCGACGGATATGGCTAGATCGACTCGGCTATTGATGCTGATCAAGAATATATATACTTTATGGGGTCGGAGCTGCTTCCTTCTGCCTGTTACATACATTTGCATTTTGCACAAATACAATATACCCTGTTTACCCATTTTTAATGGGTTCAGGGTATAAAAATAGGAGAAAAAAGTGTAGAAAACAACAAGTCAATAAAAATTAAAATAAGAAACAGCAGGCAAAAGTTTTTATTTTTATGGCCGAGACTGTAACAATTACCAGATTAAGGAGTGAGTCGCATAGAAAAACGTATCCGAATAACAATAAGCACAGCCAGCCAGAAAGTTGTGCACTCAATTCGACTACCAAATGCCCTTTTATCTATATCGAAACACATTGTTACAGCTACGAATACAGATACAGATACAAGACAAATAGAAATACAGATACAAATACAGATACAGATACAGATACAGATACAGATACAGATACAGATACAGATACAGATACAGATACAGATACAGATACAGATACAGATACAGATACAGATACAGATACAGATTAAAGGACATATGGGACTATGGGGTATGGGATAAGTGAGATATAGGAGATATGTTGGATATGTGGAAAATGAGATGAGTGGAAAATAGATATGGGATATATGGGATTTGGGATATGAGATAAGTGGGATATGTGATATTTGCTGCATGTGATATATGTGCAATATGTGGGATATGTGCGATATGTGGGATATCTGGGTTATATGGGATATCTGGGTTATATGGGATATGTGGAATATATGGAATATTTGTGTATTAAAGGTATATATGGGATAGATAGGATTTGGGAGAGATGTGGTATATAGGAGATATGGGAGATATGTGGAATATGTGGGATATCTGGGTTATATGGGATATGTGGAATATGTGGAATATGTGCAATATGTGGGATATCTGGGTTATGGGAGATATGTGGGATATGTGGAATATGTTGAATATTTGTGTATTAAAGTTATATATGGGATAGATAGGATTTGGGGGAGATGTGGTAAATAGGAGATATGGGAGATATGTGGGACATGTGGGATATGTGGAATATGTGGAATATGTAAAATATGTGTCATTTGCGGGATATGTGGAAAATTTGATATAGGTTATAGGAAATATGGGATATGGAATATATTGGATACAGAATGTGGGCCATAGGATATTGGATTTCGATATTAACTTCAAGCAGGACAAGTAACGCTCGCGCTCACAGAACAGATGCCAAAGCATATTAGCCGGCATGTATATGTGACACAAATCGCTTTAGATAATACCATATACCTTTTCATCTTTAGCCGGTAATTCAGTCGTTTATTCATTTTCTCGAGCAACTTTTCCTCTGATATCAATTTGAGGAAATTTCATTTTGGCATTTATGTATTTTGATGATGGCATAAATCGTATTTTGAAACAGTTTTCTTAACATTTTTGTGAAATTGAGCTCAACAGCGAATTCTCTAAAGCTGTGCTCGACGCGAGGTGTAGAGGGTGGGGCAAACTGATGGCGGAGAGGGGTGTGGCAGGGGGGGGGGGGGCGTGTGCGCCTTTGTGTGTCTTGCATTAACATATACCATAAATCTCTTACACTCGACGAGCTGCTTTTTTATGCACATTTTTATGATCGCATGACTTACATATATTGATTTATGCATGTGTGTGTGTGTGTCTGTGTGTGTGTGTGTGTGTGCCAAAAATCACAGCATACTTTTCTGGGCGCGGAGACAGAGACCCTCGCAGAATAATCGAAAATAATTTCACATAATGCTGAAATGAAGCTGTGTGCGTGTGTGTGCTGGGGTGTGTGTAACGTCTAATGAATTTATGTTGCCAGCAGCAAGAGCTGAGACGCTGACCGCGACGGCGACGGCGACGCCGACTGAGGCAGCGGCAGCAGCTAAAATATTTACATTTAGTTAAACGCAAACTCGGCGATGTGCGTGTGCATGTGTGTGTGCGTGTGTGTGTGTGTGCGTGTGTGTGTGTGTGTGAGTTAAGCATATGCTGGCAAATGCAAAATGCTGTCAAACACAGCTTAAGTGGGCGGCAGCAGGAGGCGTGGCCGTAGCTGTTATTGCAGCTGTTTGAATTGTTTTATATTTTGATTAATTTCTGCTGCTTCCGCTTGTTGTTGTTGTTGTTTGGCTGTTGGAGTAATTGCGAAATGCAGTCAAGCGTGTGAGTGTGTGTGTGTGTGTTTAAGTACATAATCGACAAACAGAAACACAAACACACACACACACGCACACACACACACACACACACGCACGCACACACAGACATGCGTAAACACAGCGATTAAGCAAATAAAGCGCTGAAAAGCAAAAACTAAATGAATTAAACGATGCAAACGAACATGTGTGTGCGTGTGTGTGTGTGTGTGTGTACATAACACTTACAAGCCAGCCGCCAACTATATATACACCCCCCCGCCCCCCTCCCTCTTCGACAAACCCCCTTCGACTCTAGTGCGCTTCATGCGCTGCCATAAAATATGAGATAATAAAAAGTGAATTATGAGCCCGCGAGCAGCTACGGCTAGAAAAAAAAAGCCGGCAAAGCAAACAGCAGTATTTGATCCAGGCTGTGGGCTATGCGCGACTAGCCAATGCCCTGTAGCCAGCATTGGTTCGACTTAGGGTTTAGTTCATGCAAGCAGTTCGTGTTGCATTTCTCCAAAAAGCACATTTCGATTGATAATCTCTATGTAACTGCCCAGACTGATTGACTGATTGATTGATTGATTGATCGATTGATTGATTGATTGACTGAACGATTGATTGATTGGCTGACAACAGGAGCTAGACAGCTGACTTTAGCACACCAAAACGGAATTTGGTCAACTTCCACCCGCAACGGTGGAAAACCGGTGGAAAGCGAAACTTTATTGCTTACCCTTCGATCATGCTCAAATTATTTCTGAAAATTTAATACACATTTGGCATTCTGTGTGCGAGAATTAGTGCGAGAGAAAGATTAGTCGAACGAGAATTCCGGCCCAAACTCACTTCGGGCGGTGCCTTAAGGACAGTTCGATCGGTTTCAAACTCACAACTTTCAGAGATTTTCGAATCCACAGCCATAATGCACGAAAAACACGAAACTTCCTTTCCAGGATCTAGGTGAAAGTTTAATTAAAGTCTTATTTGAATGTATACACAAAATCTAAGAGCCTCGTTTGAGGGTTCACGAATTGGCATAAGGCATAAGAACTGATTCGACTGAGCCTTGCTCTACGCACAGTCGCAGCTAATATGCTGCAGCTGCAACAGCTACAGGGTATTCGCAAGAGAAACGCTCTAACGTCAACAATAACAACAACAGGACAGAGAAGTACAAAAAAAGAACACACACACACACACAAACACATTTAATTGCAATTGTTTGTTTGCCTGCTAGTTTTTATTTGCACTTTAATTATGAAAAATATGAAACGCAGCAGCAGCAGCAACTGCAGCAGCAACTAATTTTTTACAAGTTGCAGTTAAAGTTGACAGCAAAGTTGGCGGAGCGGGGCGGTGCGAAGAGGGAGGCCGACCCATTATGGCATACGAAGCCAATTTATGGCAGGAGCACAAGCCCAGCCCCGCCCAGAACCCGCCCATTGGGCAATTGCATAAGAAAATTAGCTCGGCTAATCGAATTGCGTTCGATTCAAAAACACAATATTAAGCCCTGAAGGACAACTGGAACTGCTTTATGACTTTTAATTAAAACGCAGCTCAAAAGATATCCAGAGCGAGCTCTGCGCCTTGCCTCGAGTCCAAGCTGGAGTCTTGGATAATCCCTTTGAGACTTGTCGATGGGTAAATACCCTGTAGTTATGCTCTAGACGGGTGTGCCTGCGTTGGAGATAGTCTGAGCCCAGCACTAACAAAACATACTCAATGAACTTCGGCCTCTGTGGTTCGATCTTTATTTGATTTTCAGGTAATAAATGGGAGGGGGTGGGTGGGGGGGGGGGGGGGGGGGGGGCTCTCTAGCTTCTATAATTCTCGAGCTATGCTAAGCCATGTCTCAAAATCGATATTTATCGATTTTCAAAAAATTCAAGATATTCAACAAAAAGTATAGACTTATTTTCCGCATAGTACACGAGAGTATATTTATTTAAGGTTTCAAGTCTCTAGCTTTAGTTGTTTTCAAAATCCAAGCGCTTACTCAGATGTACCTTGGTTCGACTCAGATGTACTCAATGGGGCAGGAGTTGCTTCCTTCTGTTACTACCTGAACCTTATGAAACCCTACTCAGATAGAGGTCCATCGTAACTAGCATGTTGCCTTGGATCTGCAACCATTATTCCAAGTCGCATAACACACGAAAGATCTTCCAGTTATCATAGTAAGGGCGAGAAAGTCCATGTTCAGTTAAGTGTATATTTAATAGGTCTTGAAATCGCATTCGAAATACATAAAAACAATAATTCCATCAAAATTTTACAACTCTAAACAATTTTTTTTTTTTTTTGGTTTCTTTCTTATTGACGAACTAGTAAGTAAATGATTGGTGTGTGTGTCTGTTGGTTGATTGATTGATTGATTGATTACTTGATTGATTGATTGATTGACTAATTGATTGACTAGCTGTTTGAATGCCTGGCTGCTTGAGCAATTGTTTGTTAACTAGATTAATTGATTGATGGCTTGATTGATTCGAGTGCTTGATAGTGATTGATTAATTAATTGAGTGATTGATTGAGTAATTGATTAGACTGGGCCTTAGCCAAGTGTTGGAAACTCAATTTCATCGTTCATATTGATCGGATCGGACACACTCTCCGCCTCGGACTTGTTCAGCGGTCGCCCCCCCGCCCAGCCGCTGAGGTAGCCGCTGCGACGACGATCGTCCTTGAACTTGAACTCAATATCCATGATGCGCTGCAGCCGGCCAACGCGCTGCGGATACATGGACGCATCGTATTCCAGGCCCGAATCGTTGTCAGTCTTCGATGGCTTCTTCTTGGGCAGCACGATCATCTTCTTCCAGTCCGGCTTATTCACCTCGCCCTCGCCGGCCTTGCGTATGTTGTAGATGGGCTTGGCCCGCTCTACGCGCATGGCGCGCCACTCCTCCACGGTTATGTACTTGGTATCGTCCTCCTCGATCAGGTTCTCGCCGCCCTGCTGTTGCTGCAGCTGCAATTGTTGCTGCTGCTGTTGTTGCTGCTGTTGCTGCTGCTGCTGCTGCTGCGGCTGCTGTTGCTGTTGGCGCTGTTGCTGCTGCAGCTGCTGCAGCTCGTTGAACGAATCGTCCTTGTCGGACTGCACGGGATTCTTCATGGCGATGCTCTGCTCCTCAATGTCCTTGATCACCGAGCCCCAGTTGTGGGCGCCGCCGCCATTCCGCTTGACCACCGCCTTGATGCCCGTCTTATCCGAGCCCGAATGGCGATCGAATTTGCTTTTGTATAGCCTGCCATAGCCATAGCCCCCGCTGCCACCGCCCCCGCTGACTCCACCGCCGCCGCCGCCCTTGTTGCTGTTGCTAATGATGCGGCTGGAGACGGTGCGCTCTCGATAATGGCGCTGCTGCGGCTGCGGCGGCTCCAGCTGCTGCTGCAGCTGTTGCTGCAGCTGCTGCTGCTGCAATTGGAACTGCAACTGTTGCTGCTGGAACTGCAGCTGTTCGCGCTGCTGCTGCTGTCGCTGCAGCTGCAACTGTTGCTGCTGCAGCTGCTGTTGCTGCTGCTGCTGCTGCTGCTGCTGCTGCTGGTCCATGTTGGTCTTCTTCAGGTCGGTCTTGTTGAGGCCATTGTTGGCCATAAACGTGGCATTGGCTATCTTGATGCGATCGGACTTGAGGCCGTCGCCCTTGCCATGGCCATTGCCGTTGCTCTTCGAGATGAGCAGCTTGTGCTGTAGGGTCTTTTTGTTGAGGATGAGAGCCTTGGCCTTGTCGCCGCCGGTTGGAAGCTTGGTGCGTTTGTGCTTCGGCTGGCCGCCGGTCTCCTGCAGCTTCTTTTGGCCAAGGCACAGGTCGCTGGCCTCGTCATCGATGAAGAGCAGCTGATAGCGATTGTTGCCCAACGATTCCATTTCTTTGCTTTTTTCGACACAATAATACTTCCGAGCTTTTTCACAATATTTTTCCTTTCTCTCGCCAGCTCACGCAATCGTGTCAAAAAATAAACTCAACTACAGCCGCCCTGACACAAAATCAGTTCCAAACTTGTCCAGGACTACTAGCTCGCTGCGAGAATACGAATCGGAGACGGGATAGGGTTGCCAGCCAGGCTGCAAAAATACAAAAAAAAAGCAAAGGCGACAGCCCTGGAGAGCAGAGTTGCACAATTCCGGGCTCTAAAACTGAGCTGAGTTGTTCCGACTCAAGAGTTTTATGGCGAGCATTAATGTGACCATGGAGATGGGGCGAAAACTGAAAGAAATGTGAACATAGAGGTGCTTAGCGACTGAGAAAGTTGCCGCTTCATTCAAGTTTTAAACCCTAAACACACTTCTAGCTAAAGTGAACATGGAGGTGAGCTGCGCATAGAGGCGAGACATGGAGCTGGCCAAGGGCTGTCAGCTGTGGGTTAATACACATGACTAGTTAATCTGACCATGGAGGTGGGCATAAAATACGCTTGAGCCGAGCTCTGCTATAGATGAAGATTATGTTGAGCACAACTTCTCGGCCCGAATAGATGACAGCAACGCGTGTTCATACCTAAAGATGACGTTCGCAAATATATATAGGAAAAGTTTCTACCATTTGGCTTCTGGACTTAAGTCTTCTGCAGGCTTTTAATGGTTGGGGCTGAGCTTCAACTGGAACTCTTATTATGTTAGGCAACACTGAGGTCTGCCTGGCTAATCTTTCAAACTCGTTGATATGCAGGCATTTCTCTTCTTATGCCCTGTTGCCCTGAACAATATTTGAAAAGACAGAAGAAAGCATCTTCGACCACACGGAGTGCATGTACTTTGTTTCGACTTTCCAGCCTCGGAATACTATGCACAGATAAATGATATTTCATTTTCCGGAATTTACCAATCTGCTCTTGGGTATGTACACACATCTGAATGTCATCTTTATGCTCACAAGCATCAGACTCTACGCAACAAAGTTGAGCAAGATGACATTTCTCGAGTTATTTCGGGAAAGCAGAGTCGCTGCAGGGCATCTTCTAGTCGAGCACACCCGACCAAAGCAATGTTGTTTTGCCTTATTTCAAAGCAACTTTAAGCCTGGCGTTAATTTACTGATGCGCGCCCACGAGTCGACCGCAGACGCGGCGAGGTTTTTTGTATTTCCTCCCAGGCTAACTCTTCAAAAATACTATATATATAATTTTCTCATTTCTTTATTTCAGTTTCTCCCTAGTTACATTAAATTGAACTGGGCAAAAAAAAAAACAAAGGCGGCGACTGCAGTAAATACTTTTCTATATGCGGAGGACTTAAAAAAAAAAGAAAATGTCTGTAAACTTTTTGCACGCGGCCCGCAATTTTCTCTGTAATTACAGCGAACAGCACACGTTGGCTGTCAGGGGCAACAGGCAGAGGTTAAGCTTTGTGTGTGTGTCTCGACTGGATTGCAATTTAAATGCGAAAATGCTGCAAAAACTTCACAAATCTCTGCAATTTTTTCGCTCCCTATCCCTCTCCCCATAGATGGTATCAATAATCCCCTGAAAGCAGCAATTAGTGAGCATTTGACATGCAGAAATTAGAAACTAGCTGGTAAATTTATGTGCTCGCATGTTAAGTACGGGGCCAGCGGCCAGCGTTGCCAGCGTTGCCAGACAGCAAAAGTGGGCGCTTGTTAAAATTGATTGCCTGAACGAAAAATAAAACCTGGTCACACACACACACACTCATCAACAATAACAAGCTACACCAACTACTTGGGTATGTTACCTTTGGGCTGGCAGCATTGATTTATATTTCTATTGACACTTAAGCCAAACCTACAGCCTCCGTCCCGTCCCGTCCCGTCCCGATTGGGCTGTCCATTTTGTCTGTTTGCCAGGCGCACAAATTTGTCCTTGTCATTGTTTTACAAGCCCAAAAGGGAGGCTCTGCAGCTGGAGCAAGGCGCAGACAAAGACGACAAACTCTTCCCGTTAAGAGCACAAAGTGTATCGATTAAAACAACAAAAGCGTGTCGCAAGTGCCCGACTAGCAGATACCCTGCAAGCAGCTCTGCTTGCTCTTCCCTGCCCTCCCTTGATTAACTTCGCTGTATATAGTCCGATATTTATGAAATTTCTGGGGCTTAATTATGGCATTTAAAAACGGGCACATACCAAAGCGCAGAGCTCTCATTTGCACATTTCTGCCAATTCTGGGACTAATGGCGGCAGGTATCCAGAAAATGAAGTATTTTTAATCAAAGTACTTTGTTCAAGTACTTACATACGAAGTTTGGTGTGTCTAGCTCTTATAATTCTCGAGTTACGCCCAAATAACCAAAACTCCGAATCGATATTTATCGATATTGTGAAAAAATGAGGATATATCGATATATTAAAAGCTTTAGTTTTTAGCTGCTCTAGCTGCCCAGATTGAAGCTGTCTTATCAAGAGTATATACATGTTACTCGACAAAGCCATAATACACTCTGGCAGAGTATTGGGACGAGATGAAACACGAGATTTGCGTTTAAATGTGGCAGGCAGCAAATGTGAAGTGACACAACAAACAGACAGACAGACAGACAGACAGACAGACAGAGGGACAGGAGGACAGTCAGACTGGCAAACGGAAGGGCCGACAGACTTGAAATATGTGCAAAAACATTTTGTAACTTACTCAGCAATTTTGAGGATTTTATTGGCCGCAGAGTTGCATTGCATGTTGCCATTTCCGTTTCCGTCAGCTGCACAAATGCACAAAATCACACGAGAGAGAGAGAGAGTTGCCAACACAAATTAGCATTGAGTAACGCCGGAAATGTGCTGCCATGTACAGGGCCAACTGAACATGGAGGTGAACAGCAGCAGCTAACAGTACAAAATTACATAACCAGGCTGCACATTAAAGTGAACATGGAGGCGGACAGAAGCACAGCAGCCGAATCACGGAACACGGCTAAAATATATAAGTTCAATTATCAAAACATAATATATATATTTTAGAAGTGCCCACGATTCAGCTGGCAATATTTCGCACAGATCACACGTGTACATGGAGGTGAGCCCAATCTGAGCATGGATCGCATCTACTGCATATAAGTCAAATATTAATTATATGTCTTAGACGCGCTCACAATTCAGCTGGGCATAAAAGCTTGTTTGCAAGACTTTCACATGGAGGTGCACAGCGCTGGTTGGAACGAAACGAATCATGAGCCCAGCTAACACACATAAGAACTTGTATTAAAATTATATGCTTAGCTGTGCTCACGATTAATCGGTTACGAGCTATTGCTTAAAAAGTGAACATGGAGGTGGACTGACTAATGAGAGACTAAGGCTGAACACGTCTTAAAGATATAAGTTCAAATATAAATGATATGTCTTGGACATGCCCGCAATTCGTCTGTCAAAAGCTGCAAGAAAACGAAATTAATGTGAACATGGAGGTGAACAGCTGACAGCTGCCATATACACTTACGTTTTCGTGCCCTTAGGCCCAAAACTGAACAGAACAGACGAATTGTGATTACATCTATCGCATATAAGGCATAACAAATTATATGTTATAGACGCGATCACAATTAATCGGCGAATCTTTTCGATTCCTGGAAAAACTATGGGCTTTCCTTCGCACAGCTGGAGTTGGGTAGAGCTGAGTAGACGACTGAGGAACACAGCCAACACATATAATTATATATATGCATATTATATGTTTTGGATGTGCTCGTCAATCATCTGCTAGAACACTAAAGAAATTCCAGGTAGCAGCAAGAGAATCCAGGTGCGTCACAGCTGAAAAATAGAAAAAACAAAAGAAATTGAGAGGCAAGTAAAGTTTTTATACCCTTCTAGACTTGCCTGTTGCTGCTGATCTAGAATAAATCCACTTTATGGTTTCAGGAATGTCTTCTTCTATGCCTTCAACATTGTTTGACAAAATAATGAATCCCTCTGGAAGGCAATAAGAACAAACCTCTCGAATAAACCTCTCATGATGAGTGAGTGACAAGGAAGGCGAGCTGCTATTGTTAAGTAAGAAAAGTTAAACCATTGAATCGTATTGAAATCAACTTGTGCCCAATTTAATATTACTTAAAAGTATATTTAATGCTGAATAAGTGCCGAATAGTCAGGGCTTTAAATTAAGCAGAGTCTGGCAGCTGGAAGGCCACAAATCGATTGAAAACTTATTTGCAGGCGGCTGAAATCAAGAGCTTAAGCAATAACTTGTAAAGTGAACATGGCGGTGTCTGATATGCAAATCTTCAATTTAAATAACTTTTTACTTGATTGTTATTGTTCTGGGGATATGCTCATGCATAAACAAAAGCTTAACTGCCAAGCAGCTCAAAGCCGACCTAAACAGAAGTGAGCAGCAGCAAGAGTTGGAGCTGGAAGTCGAAATGAAATGATTAAAAGGGGTATACAGACTTTATCTAAACGCAGGCAAGGGGCATATTTTCTCAATAATCGATAAATATCGTTATCGAAACGCGCTCACTTGAGTATATCTGAGAGCTTACAAGAATTGGAAACACCAAATTTGGCATATAGACACTTATGTAGCATGCATATAGTATAAAGTTTGATAACCTTGCTTGAAAGGTCATATTTTCTTGATAATCGATAAGTATCGTTATCGAAATGTGCTCACTTGAGTATATCTGAGAGCTTACAAGAATTGGAAACACCAAATTTGGCAAACAGAAGCTTATATAGTATGCATATAGTATATAGTTTGACAAGATTGCATGGAAGGGCATATATTCTTGATAATCAATAAGTATCGTTATCGATAAGCAGTCTCTTGTGTTTTTCTCGAAGCTTACAAGCACAAGGTACACCGAATTTGTCACCAAAATGTTTGCATAGGTTACAAACGTCGAGAATACATCAATACCTCGATAAATATCGATATCGAAATGAGATCCTTTGTGCTTATGTCAAACCTCACAAGAGCTGAGAAAACTAAGCTCTTGTATAGAATACAAAGGTGGCGAATATATCACTTTTTGAATAGCTCGCATGCAGATGGTATATTTTCTTGATAATCGATACAAAATCGTTATCGAAAAGCGATGTTCTGTGCACATCTCATATATATATCACTTTTCGAATACCTCGCTTCGTTCCATACTGTAAAATACCTTTTGTTAGAGCTACAGTCTTGGACCTTAAAATGCACACATATACATTGTTTGATACCTGACAAATTTCATGAGAGCGAGTTAATCAAGAACGCATATCTCATACAGGTTACAGGTCAGCTGCTAGTCGGGCAGGCCCGCTCGCCTCTGACATACTCTAGTTAATTATTGATGACGCGAATTGAGTGCAACAAGTTGCCCGAGTGTCAATTGCATTTTGGCCACTTCAATTGAATTAAATTTACGTTATTTGAGCCCATTTGGCCAACGATGGCTTTTTTTTTCATATATGTATTTTCACACAATTTCTGGGAACGTGACGAGCGTCGCCTACTCCTCACCTGATGGATGTATGTATACACTTTTTGGAGCTTAATCCGCCAGCAGCTGCTTCTCAAAAAAAAAAAAGAAAAAGAAAGTAAGAAAAGAAATGAAGGGTGCCGCAGCCAAATGGGGCGTGCCTGTGTCAGCTTTCTTTTGTTTGTTTATCTAACGAGTAAATACGATTTTAATTAAATGTAAATCACATTGTCAACTCACACAAGAGCGGCAGCAGCAGCAGCTGGCATTGGTTTCTCATGAGTTGCTTTTATATAAGCACATGGTGACTATTGTTTACACACACACACACACACGCACACTCACACAGATGCGAGTGCTCATCCTTGAGAGGCTTGTCGGCCTGGAACTCCAGGCACTGCGTGTGGAGCAGACCGCAAACTCCCTTGAGATTATTAATTAAAAGACAAGAAAACATAATTTCTAAATTAACACACACACACGCACACGCACACACACACACACACACGGGGGGGTTCGGGAATTTAAACCTTTGCCTTTTCCTTCGTTGTTTTTTGTTCAAATTGTTGCACACGCGGCGACAGCAGCAGAAACGGAAGCGACAGTGAGATAGTGAGAGAGTGAGATAGTGAGAGAGTGAGAGAGAGAGGGAGAACACGTGGCTAGCCGTGTTGCACAACATCGTGTTCTGAATGCAGTTAGTTATGCAAACATTGTGCAACACTGGCCAGCCTGCCTGTCATTCACAGGCTGTACCAACCCTCTGCCTGCCTCCTCGCTCGGCAAACTTTTTCACAATGGATCGCGCAACAAATACGAATAGAAACCCGCTTTATGAATCGATTCTGGAGCCGCGCAGACGCCGTGTCATATTCGAGCTGGCGGTCGCACCGGAGCCGCACATCTCCCAACGGCCCGAGGACGTGAGTCTTGACATCTCTTCAATGAGCTTGATATGTATATATGTAAAATGTGCATTCTTTTAGAGCGGCGCCGCGTTTCGGCGTTTCGTGCTGGACGTGCCGAATCCGCTGGACAAGCGGCTGCTGATCGTCTCCCTGTTCAATGGGCCCGCCGATGCCAACTTTCGCTCGCTGATGGTCGAGCTGAATGGCGGCCTGCAGGAGGTGCTGCGCGCCGAGGCCGATTCTGCGACAAAGGAGGCTGCCAGAGTTGCCAGACCGATTGAATTTGCGCACAAGCAGACTAGCGTGACGCCCGCGCCCGCGCTCGAGGGCGGCTCGAGCACAGACACCTCCTCCGAGACGGAGCACTCCCATTAATAGCAGACATCCAAATACCCTATGCAATAAACGTGCCGGCACTTGTCTGCGATTGACACGCAAATCGAGCAGCCATTTAGGCTGTCAGTTATCCATATCAGAATATATATACATATATATATATCTATATCTATATCCATGGGCTAGTCAAGTTGGCAGCGTGCCAGCGCGAGCCAAATGTTGCTTGCGGCACACACGACTGACTTTTGCCACTCGCTATTTAACTTCTCCCTCTCTCTCTCTCTCTTTCTCCCCCTCTCTCTCTCTCTCTCTCTTTCTCTCTTTGGTAAATTACAGGCAACTGCAGCCTGCAGGCGCTTTTAATCAGCTGATCGCGGTTTTGTGTGAATGGCAAAGCGACGCGCGACCAATCAGAGCAGCCCCTCAATAACTGTCTATCTGTGTGTGTGTGTGTGCGTGTGTGCTCTAGATTAGGCTGAAAAAGTGCAAGTCATGCACACACACACACATACACACACAACATTAAGTTCGAATAAAAATAAAATATTTGTTTCAATTGCAATGCAATGCAAATCGTTTCTAACCTCATTTATTTAAAGAGAATCGTTTCCAACCTCAATCTCTTATAGATCTAAGAGTCAAGGGCCAGAAAAAATAATAGTAAAAATTTGCTATCACCAATCTACAACCATTTTTTGCCTCTCTTTATCGAATTCGAACTCAAAATATTGACAACAAAAACATATTTGTATGTATTTATACTAATTAAACGCATAGAAAATCGTTTCTAACCTCATTCTCGAAAGCTTTAGGGCGACGCTGCAAGAGAAAAGACGTATTCACCATTTTTTGCCTCATCTTTAAACAATTTAGCGCATACGAATTACATTTGATATAACATGGGCCAAAGATGAAATTTATAAGATTTTAAATATTGATTCACTGCACTTATAAGGTTAACTTGATTTGTGGATGCTGCGCGAGGAACTGCATGCCGAGCATGGGCGACCGCTGTTCTTATAATCTTCGGGAACTAGAAAATATATATACCCGGGCTGCACGCCGATAGTTATCGAGCTGGGGCCAACAATTTGGGCAGCTATCGAAGAAATTAACGTTTGTTGTTGACAATTCTTTTAAACTGAAGACTTGTGCGCTTTGCAACACTTGAAGAAACTGGCTTGCAGTGTTGCAAAGCCCAAAAATATTTGTGCATAACCGTATTTTGCAATCTTTCAGCTGAAGACTTGTGCGTTCTGCAACACTTAAAGAAACTGACTTGCAGTGTTGCAAAGCTAACAAATATAAGTGCATAACTGTATTTTGCAATCTTTCAGCTGAAGACTTGTGCGTTTTGCAACACTTGAAGAAACTGGCTTGCAGTGTTGCAAAGCTAACAAATATTTGTGCATAACTGTATTTGCCCAGCGTACCTAACCTCATTATTTCCATTTGGGCAGCGACTTTTGGAGTCTAGAGTGGGAAGAGCTGGGCCAATTATCTAGTGCAGATTCCTTGCGAGTCGGGCGATATCAAAGGAGTCTGTCCAGGCGTGTTGCCAAGTTGATAAAAGGCGGCAGCCAGGTCCTTTTTCTAAGATATCAGCACATGTCCTGGCCATGTGTGGGATGCCCGTTTTCATTTGAATGCCAGGCAGCGTGACTTTGTGAAGTAGCGTCATCGGGTGAGAGCTCAAAGTCGGCATTGTCATCGTTTATGCCGTCAAAGTGAAAATCCATGCGAAAAATTATATGTCAAAGTTTCACTTTTGATATGCAGAGGCATTTGCCCGGCTGCCTGGCTGCCCGGCGTTGACATCATCTTGGCGCTGGCAACAGCTCCAGATGCTCCCGCTCCCGCTCCCGCTTTGCCGCTCTGCAAACGTGGCATGCTCCAGTGGCGCAGTGACAAAGACACATTTGCTGCAAAAGGGGTGAAAGGGGTGCCAGAGGAGAGGGGAGGGGGGGGGGGGGGGTGGAATCTAGCAATTACTCGAGTTACTGGCCCAGTCGCTCGCTGGCAGTCGTTCGCTCTGTCTGTCATTGAAACGTATCCGGCCTTTAGCCTTTAGCCTTTCCTTTCCTTTCCTTTCCTTTCTTTTCCTCTGCTTTTTTTTTTTTTTTTGTGTTTTCCTTTAGCTCGCCCGTTGTCCTTTTTCTTTAGTTTTGTCTATGAGACGGCGGCTTCCTATTCGACTGTTTCCTTTCTGTTGACTTTTCCTTGGGCTCACTGGCGCCAGCCTGCCTGCCCCGCCCCACCAAACCCGACGAGCTGGCGCCCCCTCCCCCCTTTCAAACTCACGCATCGCCGCCGCCGTCACTGTCAGCCCGCAGCATAGCTGTACTTTAGCTTCTTCTGCTGCCCCTTCCCCTACCCTACCCTACCTTCCCCTCCCTCTTCCTCTGCTGGCATCTGCTTGGCAGCATTCAAAGCTATGTAATCTACCCTACTTTACAGTTGAGAACGCAAAGAAAGCGTTGCCACACTGCACTGGCACGCCATCTGCCGGCTGCGGTTGCGGCCTCTGCAGCTGCATTCAATGCACACACACCCCCCCCCCCCCCCCTCCCCCTCCCCCTTTCCCGTAGTCCAGCACCACCCGTTCCCTTTTCAACATGCCCCTGGCCCAATTTCGCATTCCCTTTGCACACTTTGGTTAATTTGATTTCGTAACAGCTAGGCTTTGATTCTGTGTGTGTGTGTGTGTGTGTGTGTGTGTGCGGATGTGTGTGTGTGTTTCATGGCAGTCACAGCGCGATCAGCCACGCGTCTGCACGCCCAGCGTGTCGACGTTTCGCTGCGAATGGCGCTCCCAATTCAAAATTCCAATTAGATCAAGCTTAGACTGAGCTGCGACAATATTGCATTATCATATATAATTTTCATTTTATGCTTTTCCAACAGTTTTATTGCTTCTTTTCTTTAGCTATACAATTCATAGAAATTTTACATAATCAAGTTTTGGAGAGAGTTTTGTGAGAAACAACTTATTTATAAAGGAACAGCACATCTTCCAAGCGTACGTCTTTCAACTAACTGAAGAAATCAAGATAGAGCTTTCTCTGTATTATTATACAATAATTTATTTCAAGTTAGTTTAAGTTCTTTCCAGTATGATAATTCACAATGGTCTAGTCGGGAGTGCACCCGGGGTTTCGGGCTCGAGTCGACCAGAACAGGCAATATAGATAGATATGGAAAAAATGTATCTATAGATTTTTTTCAACTATGTTCTTTGCCTATATTAACAACATTTTAGCAATTTTTATGTTTCTTCTATCAAAATGAGAATATCTTGAAGAAGTTTTTCATTTTATATAGTAGTCCGATCCGTTGATATAGTAGTCCGACCCGGCTGAAACCAACTTGGTTACAACTCATCGAAAAAAGTGATTTGACAAGCGCAGCACTGGCTTGAGCGACTCCTCTGACTATGCTAATCTAGAGTATAGATGCGTCTGCTACCCTGGCTGATGAATTTCGAATAGCCTCGGCTTGAGGCGAGCTCCTGTTATGCAGGATCCATTCAGCTTTCTGGTCGACCTGCTTGCAAGTAATTCATCTTTTGCAATGCACTCGCTTCGGTTGGCTAATAAACGTTGGCTCCACAATTTATTGGAGTCCATTAAACGCCACATTGGTCGCTTGCTCTGATTGGCAACCAAGGGGGCGGGTGGGTGAGTGTGTGGGAGGGTAGGGGTTTGGTATAGTCTGGGAGCCACGCGACGCCGCCAAGTGACATGCAATTTATTGCTGGAGCGGTAATTGGCAGTCCGGCGTGGGCGTGCTCCGCCCGACTACTGCTCCTGCCTGGTCCAGCTCCTGCTTCAACTCCAGCTCCTGCTGTTTATTAATAAATTGTCACTTGCAACTGGGCAGCAGCAGCAGCAGCAGGAGGCGAGTGCGTCCTGCACTTTGATGGCAATGCCAGCGCCTGCTTACTGGACATTACTCTTGCCAGACGCAGCACTGGGCAGAGAAGGAGCAGCAGAGGGCAGAGAAGGAGCAGCAGATGGCAGAGAAGGAGCAGCAGCAGCAACATTGCCAATTAGCTGATATCATCGTTCATCCTGGCGTCTGTCGGGCTGCCGTTGCCTAATCCCTGTTTAAGCCTTATCGAAATTGTATCATTATCATATCGAGTGACGCCTCTCTCCCTCTTCCTCTCTCTCTCCCTCCCTCTCTCTATCATCTCTTTGTACCTGAGGGAAATCTGCTCCAGCCGCATGACCATGTGACCGCCTCCTCGTCCTTCTGCTGCTGCTGCTGCTGCCCAGGCCAATCTTCGATTTTGGCACTAACAAGTTTTCTACGACTTCTTTATAGTTGCTGCGCATTGAGGCGTTCGCCGGGAGCTCGAAACTAAGCTGCTTATTATCCTTTGGGAGCTCCACACACACACGCACACACGCACAGCATTAATTGGATTTTCAGCTGCAAATGAAATTGGAAGCCAAAATAAAAGCATCTTTTATTTCAAATGCGTTTGCTAAAGCCAAACGTTTTACTTGCTTTCACGCATTTCCGGACCCATGCGAATTCAATTCAATCAAAGCAAATGCAAACGAAGCGCAGCGTTGCCACCCAGCCCCAATTAAACAGCCCAAAGATGGGCAGCACTCTAATCGGTTATTGATTAGATCTGCAAGACAAATTCTAAATTCAAATACTTGAAACATATATCATCATTTTCAGCTCACATTATATATTTGCGCCACAATGTTGTTTTCACTTAAAAGTTTGGCACTACAATAAGGTTGCCATCTAGTTGAAAAAGCTGTTCGTTTGCAGAGATTTTACTGTATCTTTATGCATGTGCTAGCTGTTTTTAGCCGGCTTTAAGACAAGTTTATTGCTTCAAAATTTACACATTGCCTTTCCACCCATTTTCCGTGCGAAATTGAATTCCACTTCAGTGTATTCCACTTGAAGTGTAGGCTGAGCATTTTCCATCCAGAACGCGTGAATTTTGCGAAAAGTGTGAAACTCATCTCAACTGAATGTTGGCAGAGATCTTTGAAAATGCATTTTCAGGCCGTTACCAACACATGCCTCTGCCTCCTTGGGCGAATTTCCATTGTTTGACAGGCTTAAAAAATTTTTACCAAGCACGCAAAGTGTTTACACCTCGCTGCTGGACCACATGTGGCTGGCCCCTCGTTTTCTATAATAATAACAAACACAAATAATTATAATTGAAAAAAGATCATAAACAAGCGTTCATTCTGTGTGAATGGCAAATAAAAGTGAACAGTCTGGCAGCATTGCGCAAAAGTATGACCATATTTGTGAAGGGAGCTGCAGAGAGAGAGAGAGAGAGAGAGGAGAGCTTCAGGTGAATGGAGCTGTATCCAATTTCAATTGCCTCGTAAAGCAACGCCTCGACGCTTAGAGCTAATTGAGATGGGGATGAGAAGGATGATGAGGATAGGAAGAAGCAGGAGTAGGAGTAGGAGGAGCAAGAGTACAAAAAACGCGCACATAACTCATGCCTCTCTCTCTCTCTCTGTTTCTGTCTCTCTCTCTCCATGAAGGAGCCGGCAGGAGTGACAGGGCGGGGCTGGCTAACAAGCACATTAATAATATCTTAACGGAGACGTTGAAGTGGCGCCCACGCCCAGCTCTGTGTCCCTGTGCTCGGGCTGTGATCGCCTCCAGTGCAGAACGTGGCCGAGCACCAAATGCAGTTAATTAATCATTTCAGGCAAAAGTAGTTTGGCGCTTGATTTATTTTCGGCCATAAGAACTGGCTGCCAACCACAACAAAAGTTAAAGTTTTCTCTTTCACTAGTTTCCTCGTTTTCCCCTTTTGCCTTTTTATCTGCTGACAGGCAGCTGGAGACAGCCGCTGGCGCCGGCGCCCCGGGCTCGGTTCGCGTCTGGCGCCGTTTGCCAAACTTTTGCCGGTCCCAAAAAGAAAATACATATATGTACATACATATATTAAAAAGCAACCATTTGAAGCGAGTCATCAGCCCGGAAAAAAACCACAGACCGACAGGAAGTCAGGCCAAAGCAGTCGCGGTCGGGTCTAAGCGACTGCAAAATGCACTGTGTTCCCCCAAGCAGCTAAAGTGGCGTCCCTATGACTCTCAGACTGTCAGCCCAAGCAGCTGTGACTTTCAAAATGTGTCTCGTTTGCGACTGAAGGCGTGGCTCGATGCCAGGCTTTCCACAAAGTTTGACTGGCTTTGGCTATGTCGGATTTGGATGTTCGCTGGGATGCAGCAAAGATTTATTAAAGAGCACAGTGACTCTGAAACTGTAAAGGCGTAAAAGGCGTCTATGGTGTGGGAGTGGGCGTGGCTCGCAACCTAGACCAGTTCATCAGCAGACGTAATCCAAAATGCAATAGCTCTAAAACTGTGCAACACCTGGATTTTAGTTGAGATGGCTCTAAAACTGTTGAGGCAAAGTGCAATGGCTGTCAAACTGTGACTGCATAACTGGGATTTTTTCGTTGGTCGAGCATGGCTCGGTATCTTAAGAAGTTCAGCAGCAGTCACCAAATGGCATAGGTCTAAAACTGTGGGAGATTCGAACTTATACTGGAATAACTCCAAAACTGTTAATATCAAGACGGGTGACTGTCAAACTGTGCCAGGTTAATATGGCGTTTTGCAAATTGCAAAACGATTCGAAGCCTAGAAAAGTTCAGCTGCAATCACCTGACAATCTATGACTCTAAAACTGTGGCAGAATTGTATTTTCACGGTTTGACAGGCACTGCGGCGTGATCTAATGACTCTAAAACTGTAAGAAAGTAATATGCAGTGCCTTTCAAACTGTGACTTTTGAAATTGATTTCAAATTTCAATCATTTGTGAGTAGGCAATTCATGGAGGCGCTTTTCAGTCGACTATCTGACGAAATCGTGATTGTTGACTGCAGCTTTAAATGTTGCTAGAGCTATAGAGGGCGTGGACCAGCCCCAACACCTGAAGAGAAGCAGCCTTAGAGAAGTCTTCGCATGCATATTGTTTGTAAGTTTTGAGTCCTTGGCTCTTAATTGACAGCTCATATGGCCCTTTTCGCGCTGTCAACAGAGTATAAAGAGAGTGAGAGGGGCGGGCTTGACATCGACTATGAGACGATTAATTAAACCGCAAGCGTTTAAGCGGCAAACCGCAGCAGCGGTAATGCCAGCAGCGAGCAGAGTTTGCTTTAATTTGACTTTCACTTTTACACACACACACACACACACACTCTTTTATAGGTTATATATATTCTGGGCCCGGCCAGTGTTGCCCCATCGCGGCAAAGGCAATCAAATTTCGTATTAATTATGTGCTTAACCAAACACCTCCCAGCTAAAAGGGGCGACGGCTCGGAGGAGGCGGGCCGCTTGGATAGCTGGCACGTAACATTTGCTGCTGCTGTGCAAATTGTAAACTGTCAGCTGGGTCACGTTGCCTGGGATTATGCGACAATGAAGCAGCGCGGGGCGGGGCAGGGCGGGGCGATGTGTGTGGGACTGCCGAGTGGAGCTGATGGTGGTGCACAGTCTGTTGGCCATGCGGGTCAGGGACAGGGCAATAATTCTTTGGTTTTCACATTTTGCAGGCGCTGTCGAAAATCCTTTTGCGGCTTATATTCATGCGGGACGACTCATGTCAGGGGTCAGCCGAACGCAGACCAGCCCATTTACCCCACACACACACACGCACAGGCGTACACATAATATCATAATAATAATAAGTGCTTAATAACATAATAATACTAAACATCTGTTAACACTGGAGCGCGCGCCGCCATCTTGAGACGCTGTTGCCTGCGCCATATGGCAACGCCTTTGCGGCAGCGTTGCCAGCTGTCGCTGCAAAAAAAAAGAGTTGAATTCTAGCAAATAGCTGAATCAGCTTTTGAAGCACAAACGGACAATATTGTGCACAGAATTTCGAGCACAAGGCTGGCTTAAGGCAAGGCAAAGAGCTGCCACCTTTTGCGCTGCTTCCCTAGCAGCTGAGCTGGGAAGCAATGCAGCTAAAATTTGAACTGTATTTTGTTGTTTTTTTCAAATACTTTCGCCTTTCTAGTTGACTTGCAGTCGGTGAGTGTCAGTCACACGTCTTTCTCTAATGCAAAGCTCGAGCTACAGTTGAGCAGAGAATCTAGAAGCGACTGCTTGGCACTTTTTCATAGCTATACGCTATTACAGCAAAACTAACTTGCTTGAAGTTGCGGTGCATTATTTAATATAGTTGAGAATTCCAGTTTCGAACTGTTTCGCACATAAAAAAAAGGCTAAATACACACATATGTGTGCTTAATCTGTTTAAGCCTAGCCTGAATCGCAACAAACCGCAACACTTTAACTCCAACAATAGTCAATTGTAGCCAAAGAAACAAAAAATGGGCCACACTGGCTGCGAGCGGGTGGCGCACGCGTGCGGCCACACTTCCTTTCGCATGCAGTCTGGCAACGCTGCAGGTCGTCGCGTGCCTGTAGCCTCGCATGCGGTCGGCCAATTGTGCGGCAATTAAATGGAATGAAAAGTCAAAGCGATATCAAAACTATTACAAAAGCGAAAAGTTATGCTCTCTTCTATTTTATACAACCTTTTTTTGTTTTTTAAGTGAATATGATTGCATTCTAATGTCAGACATAAATTAGCGGCTCGCACGCCATGCGTAACTCGACACCCACACACACACACACACACGCACGCATGCATTACGTGACGGGAGTATGTGAAACTTTTCAACTTGAACAAAAATTTATACGCTGAAAAATAAAGCAGAAAAAAAACAAAATGCAAGGAAAAATGAATGTGCGAAAAATTCGCGCAGACCATGAAAGGGATAATGGAGCGGGACCAGGAGCCGGAGCCAGAGTCGGGTCGGAGTTACGACATTTTGTGCTGTTTCGCGTGCCACAAGCATGTTGGAACGTGTCTGGCGCCTGCTGTGACTTTGCCCAGCTGCAGCCCGCGGGACAGCCACTTGTCGTGATGGGCGTGGCAGCAGCTGCAGTTGCCTGTGGATGAAAAACTGCCAGGGATTACGTGGAGTATTGGTTTAGCATTGTCGGATAGGGGGGGGGGGGGGGGGGCGGTCTAAAAGTTTTGCCGCTTGATTTTCATGTTGATTATAATCTTTAGTTTCGAACATGATCGCGGCACGTGCTGCGGAGTGCGAAGTGTGAGCGCAATTATGTTTAAATTTAGTAAATTATTCGATAGACAAATATGCTAACAAGTCCAGGCTTTGATTTAGTTATAAGTGCAAGAATTTGTTGAAGCTTCAAATCAACCTAATCTACATCGATACGCTAATTGGAATAAAAGTATCGATATAATCTGTCTCGAGCTCTAGTTAAACCCAAAACTTATGCCCAGTGTTCGCTTAAGGTCTTAACTTGAGCTTAACTTCAATATGAAGCGTGTACTTCAAGTATTTTTCAGCGCATTTAACCTATTGTAAATGCTGAAAGCCAATCGAACGAGGATTTGCCAATCGATATGGGCTGCACGTTTCGCAGCAAATGGGCAGCACTGTTTGTGAGTTGACTTCAGCCCTGGCAGCGGGCCGGAACCTTTTTTCACGCTGTGTCATTGTGCGATTCAGACGTAATCCGAACGAATTCTAATAATATTCCTCTATTCGACTTGTAAGTAAGGCAATGTACATATGTTTGAATGCAAAAACCAAAGCAAAGCGCGCTATTTTTTCTTTCTTTCTGATTGTTATTTCTTGAACGTCTCCGCATAGGTTTTCAAACGACAAGCTTTTGATCATGTCCTGTGGTAATGAGCAGTGCCCGCCGGCGAATCCGCAACCGATCTACATACACATACCGCGCTCCAGGATCATCATACTGAAGCTGGGCAAACAGTATCGTCGCCTCTATTTGGACGTACAGCCGACAACGATGGCCGAGCGTCGCGCCCGGCTGGCGGAGGCGCAACGGGCGGCGGCAATTGTGCGCCAGGTTAATCCGAAGCCCAAATATGTGGTGACGGTGATAATTGGCCCCACCGAGGTGCAATGCGATCTGGAGCTGTTGCAGCACAATTGCGATTTCTTTGCGCGCGGCAAGCACGGCATGGCCTACGGCCTGCCCGCCTGCGATGTCAGTCTCGAGGCATTTATGATCATATACAAGTGGATGGCGAAGCCGAACGAGGTGGTGCTGCCGCCGATGCTGATGAGCGTCTTCAAGGCGGCCATGTATCTGAAGATTCAGGTGCTGATCGATCAGTTCATGGTCGAGTTTCGTGATCCGTATACGGCGCGCGAGGAGATCGGCTTTCATATGTTCTTCGGCCTGCACAAGCTGAACGTCTATGTGCCCTTTCGCAAGACGTTGCGCGTTCACAAGTATTTCCTCACGCTGATCGGCACCAAGGACTTTCTCAATCTGTGGCCCAATGCGCTTGTCTCGCTGCTCGACTCGCCCAACATATGCGTCAACTCCGAGGTGGAGGTCCTGATCGCCGTCATACTCTGGCTCCATCATGACTATCAGGCGCGCTGCTCCCACACCGAGCAGCTGCTCGGCTGCGTTCGATTCGATAGCATTCCCCTCGAGGCGCTGCTCCAGCTGCGGCAGCACACCTCCATCAATGGACTGGGCCGTCTGCTCTTTCGGCCAGAGATCGAGATGTTTCTGAAGCGTGCACCCTCGCATAACAACAATATACGGTACTGCAATCGCCGCATCTGGGTGTACGATCAGCTCTGCGATTATCATCATGATGCCCATTGCCCCAAGCGCAACTTCATTACGCTCGGCCAGTTTCAGGAGTTTCAGTTGGCGCTGCGCAACGCGCCCGATCTGCACTGGTGGCATCGCCATCAGCTGAATCCCTATGTGCACAACTGTCGCCACGAGAAGTGCCGCCGCCTCTCCGGACCCCATGGTCGTCGATAGGCCGATGACGGTTGAAAGCCCTGCTTGAAAGCATTCGCCATATACCCTCATCAACGTGCTTCGTCCAACGAATGGTTCCATTATGATATCATATCGCAGCAACACATATTTCAATTCAGTTTTGGATTTGTGGCGAGCAGCTAACCTCACTCTAACATATTTATTTTGGACACAACTGTACTAAATTGTTTCAACAAAAAAAAAAAAAAAACTGTCTAAACTTGATGCCTTCCATGGCAATTGTGAGCGCAAGTCTCACAGCTTGACGCCAATTTCTTTTGGAAAAACTTGTCCTTCGTTTAACTAAACTCACAATTTTGTATCGAAATGTGCCTTAAAAACCCAAATAAATAGTTCGATATGAACAAATGGGTTGTTCCAAGCCAAAACTAACAGAAATTTCGAAGAATATAATAAATGGCAGGGCCTCTTCCCTTGAGGCATAAAACAAAAGAGTATTCGAATCGAATCAAAACTCATTTATTAGAACTTTATTCATTTCAGTTCTGATTATTGTAGAAAGTCATTTCTGATACTTTTTCACACTAGAAGCTTATGATATTTTATAAGTTATTTAAAAAATGAATCTCAAGTCGTTTGGCTGTTTAACTTAGAAATTGTATGCAAACGTATTCCACAAATATTCCACTGTTGCGGGTGGAAACCGCGAGACTCGAGGCTTAGGTTCTTGTATCAACAACTGGTTTGCTTCTCAAAATATCGTGACCAAACTAAGCAACTACTCATGCACAATTATTCAATATCCTAAGCATATAGCATATATAGCAAGTCCCTATCCAATCGTGCCTCTATATTATATGGATCTTATAGGAACAGCCTTAGAAATCTTCCATTGAATGTGTAAGGCATAGAAGCAGACCTCCGACCCCAGCGCATATATATATTCTTGAACATCGTTATACAAAATATTCTCCTTTCCGAAGATACTTTTACTTAGCATGTCTGAAAGGGCATTGAATCTTCGGCATGCCGTAGATATCGTTACTTTCCTTTTTTTTATTATCTTTTACATTTTTTTATATACCCTACAAACGTTCTTTATATATATATATATCATAAGATGATTTTATTCAAGATATAGTTAATCATATTATTTGTTGTCGTAATTTCTTATATTTTTTCAACTTTTGAGCAAGCACAGCATTACCTCAAAGCTCTAGCCTGTAGACTGTGCTACGCATCCGAAAGATACCTTTTTGCGGCACACACACACGCATGCAAATCTCAGCTCAGTATGAGCTTTTCACAGACTAATGCAGTTTGTGCGCTGGAACCGAACTGAAAACTCATTTATAGCTTATGCTGTGATTGTGTGTTGCCGATGGGGGCGGGCCGTGACAAGGGGGGGATAGGTGCATTTGGGCCAAGTTCTGTTACGGGCTGGAGTATCAAATGCTTTAGGCCAGAAGTTCAGCTGGCAATTGCAGTTTTCGGTTTAGCTGCAGCTGACATCCGTTGAATTTGCGGCTAAGAAGAATTGGGCCTTTGTCGACCGGGTTTGTTAACGAGTTTCCCCTTTTGCCGATTTTTGCCAACCTTATTGCAATTTGTGCTTTGATATTTCGCATTCCTCGTGTGGCCTACAATGCCCGAGAGCGTTACGAATGTCAGGTGAAATATTTGCACTAATTGCCATTTGGCATTTGGCATTTGGTGGGGGTCAGGCGAGTTTTTCAGTGTCTGGCCAAAATGTTCCAATTAATCATTTTCTGATTTGGCATTTGGGACTGTGCTGAGCTTTTGGGGCGTGCCGGGCATTTCACGCGCCGTTAAAGTTTAATCGAAAAAGTATTTTTGTGGCCAATGAAAATTCCAATAACGAAATTCAGCGCAACAACAAACAAAATGAACTTCTTGAGTTTCGTTTATGTCGGAAGTTTTTTTTTGCACCCCCCGAGCCCCGACCAGGTACCCAGGTCTGACCCACCGCCCCAAATGATGAAGTGCAGCCTGCAATTGACAGTGTCAAGAGGAAGAAAAACCAAGCAGAAGCAGAAGCAGAGCAAGAAGCTGAAGAGGGACTCGTCAGGGCTGCGGCTCAACTTTTGTGGCGTTAACACAAAACTTTGCGCCTAAACGCGCAATTAAACCAAATTTCAAAATTCAAAATACAAAACTTTACAACACTGGCATAGCTTGTTGGTGTGTCTGGGTTGGGGCAGGGAGGGTGGGGCTGCATTCTTCAGAAATTGGGCTACAATAATGATAAAGTGCTCGAGCATATTATATTGTTTTGATGAAATGAATAAAGTTTTGCCTCAATGCATTTATTATGGCATTATCATCATTCGAGAGAAATGTTTGTAAACAGCTTTCACTTGCATGCTGCTTCTTCTTTATCTTCATCTCACACTTGCTGACATCTTGCTTATGTTTCGACAAACTCTTCAGTGAATTATAGATGGCTGGCGTTGCAAAAGTTACCCGACTCAAGCTAAAGCCAAAGATTAGGAAGATAAAAATACGAACGGAAGAGCTAAGTCATGGTTTTTGGGAAATTCCACCTGCTTTTGTGGAAAATTGGCGAAAATCGAGTGTAAAAAACATTTTTGTTTCGATTTCGATTTATTTTAAGCACATATCCAAGATCTCTGTGAAAGTTGAGACGTATTATGGACCTTATGCAAAATTCACCCCGCCTGACTGGAAGATGGAAGTCAACGGCTGTGAGCCAAGCTTAAGCCGCGCAAAGCCGGGTAATTGCTAGTCAGTGGAGTGCAGTAAATAGCTTGAAATAAAAGCATGATGAAGAAAAGAGAAATCGCTTTCCATCTGGCGTTCGTTCTGCTCGGGGTTGACAGGGAGAATTGTCGAGTGGAAAGTGGAAAAGTGGAAAAGTGGGCGGTTTGCACTAGCGACAGCTAGTCATGTCATATCGAGAGTTATAGAAAGAAAGAAAAAAAAAACACAACACATACACGAACTATAAATCAAAATACATAGAACTTTTTGGAATAGTTTTCTGGCGGAAGCGGGAACTTCAAAAACAAATACGACCAATCAAAATATTGATGGGAGACATGCTGGAAGCGGCGCCGCCACCAAAGGAGCTGCCGGGCAAGGCCAAGGCGCAGCCAAAGAGCGTGATGCCCTCCAAGCCAAAAAAGGGCAGCGTACTCAGCGCCATAGAGGACATACAGCGCATGTGAGTCGATCGAGGAGGGAGAGGGAGAGGGAAAGGATGGGTCTTACATTGTGTCTTATATCCACCAGGTCACCGGAGGCGATTTGTCTGGAGTTCGATCGTCTGGTGGAGCACACAAAGCGCCACTTCAAGGAGGAACCGCAAATGCCCTGCACGGGCGTCGCAACGCAGCTGCTGCGCTGCCTGCAGAAGCATCGACAGCAGTCGTTCCAGTGCTTCGATGCGATGGACGAGTACCGGCAGTGCATCGGCCTGGCCACCCAGGAGCATATCGATCAGCTGGCCGAGGAGGAGCGGCAGCGGCAACAGCTGCCGGTCGCGACGCCCAAAGCGATGCCGGCGCCATACATGCAGGCCAACTCCAATGAGCGTAGCCCTCGCAACTGGTACAAGCCCTGGACCTGGGTGCGCTAGCTACTCATTCAGCCGCCATCTCTTCCCATTAAAGTGCACCCAACTGCCCAAGACCATACAAATAGGTATTAACAAAATTGCAGGCAGCTGTGTTCTGCTTTGGATGCAGCTGCCCATTCGCCGTCTGCCCTCGGATAAATCCTTTTACTAATTAAAATGGCAACGACTTGACCAGTTCCAATGGCCTCTTCTTCTTACACCCAGCTGTTGTCTGTCTGTCTGGCTAGCCAAAAAAAAGAAAAACTAAGCAATCGATGCTCGGCAGTTGGCAGTGCTCGACTAGCAGATGCCCTAGCCCTTGCTAATATTCCAGCTTCCGTTAGAAATGTGCTCTGTCCTTGTCTCTATAGACTAAACGGGCAGCTGCATATCGAGTTTCGTGATTCGAGCTACAAGAATTCTCGAGTTATCGTTAGTTATCGAGATCTTGTCTTGCCTGGCGAGAGTTATCGATGATTTGACAGAAGCTTCATCTTTATACTTCCAGTCTCTAGCTCTTATGAAATGTTTCTTGTCTCTGTAGACTAAACGGGCAGCTGCATATCGAGTTTCGTGACTCGAGCTACAATAATTAATCGTTTATCGATATTTATCGAGATCTTGTCTGCGTGGACAGTTATCGATGATTTGACAGAAGCTTCATCTTTACACATCGAGTCTCTCTCGGAGATCGGGACATATCTAGCTGGACCTGCTGCCGCGTGGGAATATCTGCCTCCATTATACGCCATTTTAAACATATTCAATGCGTTTCGGGTATATAACATGGCAAAATATTTGTGCAGCACTCGGAGCTGCTTAGAGAGGAAAAGTCTTGCGCCTCTCCCCTTCCCATCACTCCCCTGGCCTAGCGGCCATTTGGTTGCCCAGCTGGCCCTGGACTGCTGCCAGTTGTTGCAACACTCATTCATTTGAATGTCTACATCATCTCAGCTGCCAGCAGCATGTGTCCACATGTGTGTCTGGGTGTGTGTCTGAGTGTGTGTAAGTGCAGGACGCATCCTTCCTGCGGCGCTGCAATTTGCAATAAAAGTAAATCTGCTGCAGCTGCAGCAGCTACTCGCACGGCAGCCTTAGACCGCCCGTTGACCCCTTGACCCCACGCCCACATCCACACCCACTCGAACGCCCTCTCGTGCCCGGCTCCGCCTACGCTGGCCAGGGCTGTGCGGTTACAGGTTGAAAGCCTTTCGGCCACGGTAAGCAAACATTAGAATTTATTAAATCCAACTCACGGCGTCGCCTGCCGCACACGAACCCAAAAAAATGAGCAAGACAGCATTGAGATGAACCTTAAGATACCCTGTACATGAATATATCTCTCCCAGGCGATGCTAGTGTAGAGAAAACCTATTCAAGTATCGATAACTATTCAAAGTATCGAATGCTTAATCGATATACGTAAGAATATAAATATATATATGTCTATATTTCCCCCCAGGCATTGCTCTCTACTGAAAACCAATCTAAGTATCGATAACTATTCAAAGTATCGAATGCTTGATCGATACACTAACGAATATTAATATATATAACATATATGAATATATTTCCCCCAGGCAATACTCCCTACAGAAAACCGATCAAAATATTCGATAACTATTCAAAGTATCGAATGCTTAATCGATATCCTTATATATGTATGAATACATCTACATCAGGCGTAGCTTGTGTAAAGAAAACCTATCGAAATATCGATTAATATTTAAAGTATCGAATGCTTAATCGATATCCATAAGAATATAAATATTTATATTTATCTATATCTCCCCTAGGCAATAGTCTCTACAGCAAACCGATCAAAATATCGATAGTTACTCAAAGTATCTAATTCTGAATCGATATCCATTTGAATTTGCAATAAACTCTAATCTATCAAGCATGTGGCTCATAAGACCTTTGGCTTAGCTCTGACTGAGCAGAGATTTGGTCAGAATGGCAGCCACACATCAAGTTTGAGAGCCGTATGTGAAAAGGGTCTTCGGGCTGGGCACTTTATGGCACTGCAGTTGCCCACTGGCGCCATCTACATAAACTTAAGCGCAACTTAAACCCTTGCTTAGCCTGTCCATGAGTACAGGGTATAAAAAGAAAAATTATTGCATATAAAACTCACCTGGCTAGTAAGTGAGTGGCGTGTGGGGCCGAGGGACGGGGGCGGAGGGGCTGAAGATGTTGGCCGTGAAGTGGGGCAATAAACTTTTGGGCGCCGTTGCCACGCCCACACACACACATACACCTACACATATACATATACGCACTCAGGCCCAGCTAGAGATTTGTATTATCTTTTCACACACACACACACACGCCTAAATACACACGGAGCACAGGGGAGCATGTACCAATAATCCAACTTTGCTTTTAGCATTTTCCATCCAAAAATAACAAAAACGAATAACAAAAAACCATGTAAGCGGGCTTGAGTCGACTGGCCCGACTAGCAGATACCCTGCAACGATTGTGCTGCTTCTTCCAACTGTAGCAGTCCATTTCGGATCAATGAATTCTTATATAACTATGCTTTCTATAGTCCGATCCTTATGAAATTCACATTGCTGAAATATGGCATGAAAAAGTGCGTGTGTACCAAAGTTCAAGGTCATAACTCTCTTTTTTCTCGACATAGGCGTAGTTTCGACAATGGATGGACAGGAGAGCACGATGGGGAAAAAATATATATAAATAATATATATATATATACATAAATCTTGACATATGTTTTCCTTTGCATGAGAGACTCGGAGAGGCCACCTTCTGCCTGTTACATATACCTGCTCGAAACCATCAAACCCATTGTTGAACCACTTCGAATGGGCGCAAGGGTGCAAAAAAAACAACACAAACCCGACTTCAAATAGCCGAAAAGAGTTTTTTGACCAGTGCCAACAACAAATAACAAACATACATAAGCATACATTGACCAAGGCATATCGCGTATACGAATCTCAAGATATGATATTGATATAGGGTCTATTGAAGGCAGAACGTGCTTTCACATTTTAAAACCCAAAGCATGCTAAATTCCAGTTGCTTTTAAGTCCATAGAACATTTCAAAGATATTTATGTACATATATTTATATATGTATATACATTTTATTGTGCGTGTTTTAAATCATTTTTGACAGGCTAATTTCGTAAATTCTTTTATTTCCCTTGCGAAGAGAAGCTGCTCTCGGGCAAGGGCTGGAATATTTATATACACTTATTTCGTATCTAGGCAGACTCTTTCCATAGCATTTCACAAGTATCAGGAGAACCTCTTCTTAGGCAGCGAAATGCCAAGTTTAATCGATATATATCGATACTTTTAATTAGATCCGTAAGATCCTTAAGCAGAAATATCAAGTTGAGAATGCCGATATAATGCCGAAAATAACAACCCAAAATTCCAGTCAACTCGGACTTAGCTTAAGCCAACGTTCAATTCGATTTATTCGTGCCTATCGATATTACATTATTATCGTATATCGTATTATAGCAAATCGATTATCGTATAGCATATCAAGAAGATAACCCGAATTTTTAATATCGATATATATCGATTATCGGAAAAATAAGTAAAATATTTGTAAAAATAAAGGGCCAAATTTGAAGCCATTTCGGATTCAATTGGAATTTTAATCGGGCTTATCGATACGAAACTTTTGTAGCGAGCGTTACCTGTGGCCTTGTCTTGAACAAGCGACGGCTGCATTAAGTCGGGCTACCTTAGTTTGTATTCAACAGCAAATATCTGTAATCTATAATCTGCCAAACAAAGACACTGAAAATCCGTTTTCGGGGCTTCTTTTGCATTGACGGCAGGCAGGGCGCAAGCTGTGACTTAATAAAAGCAAAAAAGCCAAGCAAAAATATGCACGACACGGCAAAAAGGGAAAACAACAACAACAAATCACAGTGTACTCAACTACGACAACCTGTGCCCCAGCCAAACCCACCCTTATACACCTTGCCCTGCTTGAACCCTTGAGTTTATGCTCGTTTAGCTGGTTTTTCGATGTTTTCCTTTTCCTGAAGAGGGGTTTCATATGCACAGCCCATTGTAAACGTGTAAAAAGGGTATAATGTTTTTGTGCAAATTTACGTAACAGGCAGAAGGCAGCATCCCCCCCCCCCCCGACCACCCGACCCCGGCGACCCGAAGAAAATATGTGTATAAATCTTGATCTGTCAGGAATATGCAAAATTTGGTTAACTTTAATTCGGAATATAAATTCTATGATAAACCGCACAAGCTTATCATTTCGTTTTTCAATATCTCTGATCTATAAATATAGATCTTAGGGCAGGTTCTTATGCTCGAGACTTATGTGAGCTAGATAAAGCAGGTTTTTGTTGGAACATCAATAATTTTATGTATAATTCATCCAATATTCCCCCAAATGGGAAAGCTACAGCCTTGCGCTTTGATATGCAAAAACATTTCGATGTCATATTGAATCTTTGAAATTTTTATTAAAATCGAACAATAAGCAGCCGAAGTTATTTGGGCATGCATTAGCCATATATGGAAGAAGCACAGAGGCTGAGACCAGGGTATCTGCTAGTCAGTCATTTGCTAGCTATGCACTCTTATATGCTTATTTGGTTGCCGCCTCAAAAACATCGTGGCATAAAGATTATTATAAAAGTATTTTTGCTAAGCTTTCGTTCGTGCCCAGCACTTGCCAACTTTGTCTACCTGGGGGCGTGGCCTGGCCCTGCTGGCAGGGATAGATACACACATACATAGACATAGACATGCATGCACATACACGTTAGTATCTGGCCGGGCTTGGGATTCATCTCTGTGCTGGCATGTGGCCCGGCAACCGGCACTCTAAGAGTCTTTGAGCCTGCATGTCTGATGGCATCTGGTTGGGCTTACAATTTAGGGATAATTTATTAGCGACCTGCTTAAAACTTGATCTCAGCTTGAGGGAAGTCATTAAAACAGTTTGCACAGCTGCAGTTGGCCATGGCAACAGTCCGAACGCAATTAAATTGCCACACGGCAAAACGAAAACAAATCAACTCGTTAAATCTCCAAGTCAAATCTCTCTCACGCTGCGCAGTAACAGTGGCAGTTGCCCCTCAAACAGCCAACTGCTTTTGCCAGTTGCTGTCAATGGTATCATTTGCAACAAATTGCAGTTGCTCTGTCGAAGAGTCCGTCCGTCCGTCAGTCCGTC